ATCTGTGCCTTGCAATTATCCTGTCTCTGAGCTCTGCAGGCAGTTCCTTTTACCTCATTGCTCAGATACAGTATGCATTGTCAGTTAGAAGCCTTTTATAGAGAGATGTGTGTCTTTTCAAATCACATCCAATCGATTTAATTTACCACAAGTGGACTCCAGTCAAGGTGCAGAACCATCTCAGCAACGATCAAGAGAAATGGGAGGCACTATAGCTAAATTTCAAGTGTTGTTGCAAAGGGTCTGAAGACTTATGACAAAGTGATATTTCTGTTTTTTCTTTTTAATAAATTCACAGACCTTTCTAAAATTCTGTTTTTGCTGTCTTTGTCATTATAGAGCACTGAGTGCAGATTAATGAGAACAAAAAAAATAACTTAACTGTAGTATCAGGCTGCAACATAAAAAATTTTTAAAAAGTGAAGGGGGTCTGAATTGCCATACCCTTTTTTGCTAGGTTCAAATTGATCAGACTATCTGCCATTGTTAATTTTTGGATTTGGTGCAGACATGCAATTTTCCAGATTGTTATAATATGAGCATCTATCCAAGAAATCCATGCAATTACAATACAATCAGGCAGACATGTGGTTGTTGGTGGACCTAATAAAAAAATCATATTGTATTGTGTGTGACCAGTGTTGAACGTAAGCAACACAGACAATCAGACTTGTTAACTACATTTCTAAAAATAATCAACAGATCGAAGATCGTGGCCAATAATTGTGCGCAATACTAACACATTGTCATAAAATGATTTATGTTAGGTCAGCATTGTAGATGGGAACGGTGCTAAGTAGTTTTTTTCTACTAGAAGAAGAGGTATAGGGGGAGAGCCTTCCAGGGGACAGCTACCATGGATACAGTAAATGCTACAAAATAAATACATACTAGGACAATGAGGGCAGTGATGTGTGACATGAGTCTTTTCTGTACTTACTATGCATATGAAAAGCACCAAGAAGTACGAAACACTGAAGAATACAAATACAAGCTTACAGAGCTGCTAATGCAAAGAACTTCTTCAGTACGTAGTGTACTCGTAATCACATGCTTTCCTAGATCCCTACTCAGCAAAATCTTACTCTGCTAGCCAACCAATACACACAACTGGATATAAGGAGTGACTTCTTACCAGCCTAATAATGTATTTTGTTCTGTAAAATACATGGAAAAATTTTAATAGCTATCGTGTCTTTGATTTCCAGAGATAATACAAGCTTTTTGAGGTTAGCCTCTAGAAAATGAGTGAGTTTAAAGAAAAACTTGCCAGTGGCCCGATCAGCAGAGGTGCCCATTGTCATAAGTCAAAGGATAGGTTGGAGTCATCTGGTTTAATGGACATTGAAATGCTTTTCATGGTTTTAAATTGCCACTTCTCAGTTCAGGGTGTTACCATATGGCACCAGCAGATTAAGTAAAACATCACTTTCTTTTACCACCTTGAAGGAGGAGGAAGTGACAGTTAAAAAGCAATTTCTTGGTGAAACAAAGCATTCTGATGTTCATTTAACCAGATGACTCTGACTTATCCTTAGCTATATGACAACAGGCACTGCTGCCGATCAGACCACTGATGAGTTTTTTTTTTTTAAAGCCTCTTTAAACTCACTTAGTCCAAACCCCCACCTGAGAACCCCACAGAGGATCCAGGATTGGGACCCTTGTGGCCTCAAGAGCAACCAGAGTTATCCTACATGGAGAGTTTTCTCCACCTGCGCACAAGGAAGGTTGCATGTTTCCACCCTTTAGGGTCGACCGCAGCCTTAACAAATGTTATTCTTTTTTTCTTTCTTCTTACTGATGAACCATCTGAGCTAATTATATTGTTTGGACCAACCTACTACACTTTAGGGGCTCTCCAATACCCCCCCTTTTTCTTTTTTATTGGATACCCAGAGACGTCTTCCCTTGGGCCCTGATCCCATTGTGATCGAACCCTTCAAACCACCATATCCTACTCCTCAGTCTGGTAATATCCCTTTTTTCAGTACTCAATCCACTAAATATTAAAAATAGTTCTTTCTATGCTAACTCAAGAAACAGAATGACCCTGATTTACTAAAAGAGTAGAGCATGTTCACCTTTAAACTAAATTTTCTCTTTGCCAAATAATATACATTAATCTTAGCAAATGAGGTGATACAGTGGAAATTCACTTTACAAAGAATACCCAATTGTGCAAGAAGATTTTTAAAAGGATTTAACTTGCATATGATTGAGTGGTTGAAGTCAGCACAAATGAATATCTAACTGTGTATGGTCACCTTTAACTTAAAGAAGTTAACTTGGTCTGACTTCAACTTTCCAATCATATGCATTCTTTTATTTTTCTTGCACTCTTTTATTTTTCTTGAACAATGTACCAAGAACCAAATCACTTCGCAAAGTGAAAATTCTCTTGGCAGTGGGCTGGGTTTCTCGGGGATAGATGTATGAATGGAAGTGTCAGCAGTTGATTCTGTTTTGGGCTGCGAATGCTGACAACAAATGAGTGATG